ACTTTTCATTTCGACTTTGACCTCCAAAGTCGAAACATTTCGACTTTTGGGTTTTCATTTCGACTTCATGTATAGTTAGGATATTAGTAAAATAAATAATATTTTCAATTAAGGAATGTGTAATATTTATTAGGAGATCCTGAAAAAATGTCAAGTATAAAAAATCATCCTTTTTTAGGTGACTCTTGTAAAAGAGAATTTAGAACTAGCTAAGGTATAAAAATGTGTAAATTTGCTTCAAATCAAATAATTGAGGGTAATCATACTGCTGTTGATTTTGATAATAAATATTATAAAGAATTATTTAATCAAGAAGATTATAATTCTTATGAATTTGCTTTATGGTAAGTAATTTACATATGATAAAAAATGTATTATTTTTTATATTTTCTAAATTTATAATTTTAATAAATAAATTTTTTTTTTATTCAATTCGTTGCTGCACGTAAATCTCCTTGTACTTTTATTTATTCTGATACAAATACTTATTGTAATGAAAATCCAATTTTAAGAAAGTATAAAAATTTGGTATTTATAAATATTATCTTTAATAAAGTATTTAAAATTAACTTTAATAATAATTTGTTTGTAAAAATTAATAGGCTATTAGAAATGCATTTTTAATTGGATGAGTTAATTGGGATTGGAAAAATCAACAAAGAGAACATAGATATATTCCAATTAATGATAGTAGAATTGATACAGAATATTTGGAAGAATTATTCAAAACTTTATTTTTTGCTCTGCTAAAGATTTTGAACAGGTATAATTTATTTTTATAATTTAAAAATTTATTTTTATTTATTAATTATGATTAATATTTTGTAAATAAATGATTTAAATTGTTTACAAATGCAAAAATGTAATACAATTTTGCATTGTTCTTCAAAAACAAATAACTTGTAGTAAGCATTTTTTTTTATTTAATTATACAATATTTAGAAATTACAAATTTTTAATTTTTTATATATTTTTAACAAAATTTCCTCATTTAATTGGAAATATAGTTATTGAATCACCTATTATTACTAAAAAGTGTAATGTTCTATTGAATTCATATATACCAGATAATTTAGAAAGTTGTTCATTTATTGCTATAGTTTCAAAAAGAATTCATAATCACTTACCCTTTCCTTCTGTAACTACACCATCTAATATTTTGGAGCAACTTAATGAAATTATTAAACATGAAGATACATTTAATCTTACAGTAAGAAAATTATCAATAGATTAATTACATCTTATTAAATATTTTTTTTAAATTGAATTTTTATAATTTATTAATTAAACTTTTTAATTAGGACAAATGTTAAAAATGTATTTGAATAATACTGCTTTTATTAATAATCTTCACATCTCATTAAACAATTCAACAAAATTAAATTATTATATAAAAAAACAAAGAAGATTGCAATATCCATATGAAAGCAATTTAATAGGTATATTAAATAATGTTTTTTTAATGCATTTAATTTATACTAAAATTTATTAAATAATTTATTTAGGAATTATTCATGTATTATTATGTCAACAGCAATATGATACTTCTTATATTAGAAATATTCGTAAGTATTACATATTTTATAATAAAATTTTATTAATTTAAACGGAATCTAATATCTCGATATAGAATGATTAAATTTTTATAAATATACATCCATTAGGACCGCCGTAATAAGAGTTTTAAAATAAGTTATTATTCATTAAATTTAGATCATTGGATGCTGAGATATTAGATTTTACTGTGTCACATCATGAATTAAAAATGATTAACGAAACTTTACTGCGCCATTAGTAAATATCGCATGAAATTTCTAATTAATTAAATTACTTCTTTTTTTTTTAGATATTTCTGATGATGGAAAAATTTTTATTGTTTATATGACTAAGCAGCAATTTATAAAATTTCAAAATTTAAAATATTTTGAAATTAATGCTACTTTTAAATGCGTTAATACAACAATTAATAAAAATACTATTAAGGAATGGGAAATAACTTCCTATGTTAAAAGTATTAATAAAAGTAAGTCTTATTAAATATTTGAAAGTTATAATATATTATATTTAATTAATTTAATAATTTATTTGCAAGAGTTTTTACTAATGTAAAAACTTCTGATGCATATAAACATATATTTTATAAAGTATTTTCTACTATTGAAAAGGATAATGGAAAACAAATTGAATTTAGTTATTTAAATTCAAATTCTAATGGTATAGGTTGCATTATAGCTGATGCTCATAAAGGTCAAGCCATTAGTAAACATATTAAATTTATTTATTTTAATAATTATAAATAAATTACACTAATAAATTTTTTTAGGTCTTAGTAAGTTTTTACATGAAAGATATCCAAGTATGTATATTAAAGAACACCTTATGCATATTTATAAAATATGTATTGTATATTATCATAGATTTGTAATCATCAGAAGATCATATAAGGTAAGTATTATCAAAGATTTTTAAATTTAAATAAAATTTGATAAAATTATCCATTTAAAAATGCTTATACATTCGATTTTAGAAATCTTCGGCAATCATTTCATTAAAAATGACATTATATACAAAGATCATCAAATATTAAACAAATTTATATAATATTCAGTAATACAACATTTTTTAAAAATATATAAATACGTAAATATAAGGATCATCAATTCAATTTTTTATTTATTACTTCTTATCAGCTATGCTATGAAGATTCTTTTTTTTAAAAAAAAAACTGACTAGGAAAATGATGAAAATGACCATTCTGTTTGTTAAAAAATATATCTATTAAACAAGAATTCATTTTTTTTATAAAATCTTGGTATAATATAAACAGCTTGTGCTATGGAATTTAACAGTATTACATTATAATTTTCTGACATTGATAATTGACGACATCTATAAATTTTCGAAGTCTCATTATACTTCCGGTTTAGTTTACAATAATCATACTATTTTACCATTGCGAAAGTGAAATTTGCAGATTTATGTGAGCTGTTAGCAAATAATTCTCCCAATAACAATATATAACGTTAAAGAAGATATAAAATTCTGAAAAAATTTAAATTTGAAAATAAAAATCGCTTGATTTATTGCTAACCTTTCCAAAGTATGCTCTTCAATCTGTAATATAATTATCGGCTTCTTCTGTATCTATTACAATAGTCATATCGCTAAACTGTGAAGCATTATTATAAAATGAAGCATAAATGATATCTATAGATTGTAATGTCACACTTTTGTATAATCATACAAAACTATCATCATCATCATGAGAAGTGATTGATGTATTATCCAAAAAAGTATAAAGAGATGTAAGTAAATTTTCCATTCCTTCAAGTTGTAAAGGATGTATTGTTTCTAATTGTCATCAAACTTGCAAATGTTTATCAAACGACGATATGTATACATCTCGAAGTTTAGCTGACATTATACCATCCTTTCATATTATAATGTGACTCTCAAGTTCTGTCAATGCTTTTTGTCAGACCTAGGTTAAGTACAAATAATTTATTAATTAGTAATTATATTTTCAATGATTTTATAGTTTAATAAATATATCACTTTACCTTATTTATAATCTAGTTCATAACATTTTTGTAATTTATTATGATATTACTCTATCTATAAAAATTTAATAATGAATTTATGAAAATCTTATAATATTTGGTGGTCTTCTATTGATGAAACCTTGGTAATTTAATCCATTAACCTTACTTATCATCAACATTTTATTTAATCTTAATTAAACATATGTAATTTTTAAATATAAGTAAATCATATATTTATATATTTATAAAACAAAATATTTATAACAAATATTTTACAATCACAAATTTGCTTCTTGTATTTTTAGTCTAATAATATATCTTATTATACATTTTAACAATATATTTTTGATACTGACCTTTCATCTGAACTATCAATAAACTTTTAAAATAATTTAGAAGCTATATTTACATTTACAATTTCAATTACAATTATGACAACTTGCAACATCAATATATCTTCTTTTCCTTATATCCCAAGTATTACGTTTTTAAAATTATTATAAAATTTTAATTCAAAAATTCTAAATCAATTTATTTGTGTAGTATGTGCTATTTGTAGTTGAATTATGTATTCTGAAAAATGCAAATGAATACTATATAATAAAAATTTATTATATCCCCTTTTACAATAATATCTGAAAAAAAATCCTTTGTTATTATTAACCTTTCATGTTAAACTTCCAAAGCGTATTTCTATATGCACAACTTGTCAAAACCTATAAGTAGATATTCATTTCCCTTTTTTTATCCTATTCTAAACGAAATTTTAAATATACCTATAGAAAATTGAATATATCTTTCTCCTGTATTCATACATTACTCTTTAGTTAGAAATTCAGATCATAGTTCTATATATTCAAAATATAATACCCTAACTAAAATAATGAATTTTTCCAAAAATATAGTTTCTTAATACTTTATTTTGGAATGATCAATACTTATCTTGAAGACAATATATTAAACTCTCATAATTTCTGGCTAAATAATATAATAATTTACGTAGCAATTTAGTTAAAACAATACAATTCATTTTTAAAAAACTATTCTTGTCTTTTAGACTTACCTAATTTACAAATTGCCAATCTCTTTTCTATGAATACACATTATTTGTTGATGATTCTGCATTACTATTTCTACCTAACGATATAATAATTCCTAATACAAATTTTAATATTAAAATTCATGATGAAGACTATCATTATTCATATTTAATGGTAGGATTCCTTAGAATTTTTAACAATACTTTATTATTTATATCTATAAAAAATCTAAACTTAGAAGCCTTATTATTTTCAGATTTTATTTCCAGATGATAAAGGATATTATTATGATATAATTTCTGATTCAAATTTTATATGCAAAAAAACATATTTCAAATATATTAAATAAAGAACACTTAATATTAATTCATATTTTAGGATTTATCATAAATGGTTAGCTTAGTCTTATTTATAATTAGAAAAATTTATAATCATCAAAATAATCAGCAAATATGAAGACAACAACAAGCAGATAAAATTTATTGTTCGCTAACTGCAGTACAACTTATATAAAAATCAAATTACTCAAATAAATTAAAAATAGACAAATCAATAATAATTATTATACCTAGTTTTATTCACACAGGTGATTTATATTTTTATAAAAAAGAACTTCATGTAAATATAATAAATTTATCATATGGATTATCATCATTATTTCAATAGTATTCATAACTGAAGGTCATTGGAAATACTTACATAAATTTTTAAAATCAACTGACAATCATAATACTATTCTAACAAATAAACTATTATATACTACACTACATTTTATTTATTGCTTTCAATAACTTAAAAATATATTCTAAAAAATCATCCTGAATATTCAAATTGGAGTAATTTAATTCATTATTTTGAAAGAATAGAATTTCAAAATCATAACGCTACATATACTCATATTATATATTAGATTACAAAGACTATTCAACAAATTATTAGTGAAGATCTTATTAGATCTAATTTGACAAATCAAAATATAGAATTTGAATTATATGCTAAAGTAAAAACAAATAAAATATATACATGCAATTCAAAATATGTAGGTCCTGCAGCATCATGGCATATTTGCAAAAAAAATTTTCACGTCCTTCTTTTTAACCATATATTATGATGAAGATGTAAAATATTATATCTATAAATGTATTAAACCTGAAGACCAATGTGTAATTCCTTATTATCTTCAAATCTTATTAATTTGGGATGCATATATGAATATACAATATGTAAACTTTTGAAAATTAAAATTTTATTTAACAAAATACATAGTAAAATCAGAATTATTATATATTTTTAATATTAAAAAAGGAGATAAATTTAGAGAATACATAACAGCTTGAAGATTAAGCTTAATGAAATTAATGTTTTTAATATTAGATGAAACTATTTGCAATTCTTTATATTCTCATTACAGATTCTTGATAAAAAGCTATTCGTCTTATTTCTCTAATTAAAGATAATAATGATAATTCTTATTAAGTTAATCATATTGAGAAATATTTTAACTGCCTAATAGAAAATGAATTCGATAACTTAACTTACCCAAAATATTTTCGAAATTATAAAATAATAACTATTTAACTAACAATTAAACGCTCAATTTACATTAACAATTTAGAAAACTATGTAGTTAAAAGAAAAACTTCAATATTAATTAGATTTTGATATTTAAGACTACAAGATAAACAATTGTATTTTTATCAAAACATTTACTTAAAATCTTATGTAGAAACGAAGAAGAATTAATTAAAAACTTTTCAACATATCGCAATCATTAGTTATATCTTAATCCTAAATTTAATGAAACTATATAATAAATTATACAAGAATATTTACAGTCTTAATGCTTAAAACTTAAAACTAGTTCTTTAATTTAACAAATTACTAGATACTTTACTAAATAATTTACAACCTCATATTTCCTATTTGTATTAGACTTAATTAATATATAACTTCATTTCTTACAAATAAATCCTTTAATCATTTTTCAATCTAATATATTAAACCTACCAAATGATCAATTAAATATAATTTTAATTATTTGAAATGTCTTAAATCTAATATAACAAAAAAATAAGTATTCATATTTCTTTATAACAGGTTCAGCTGGAATTGAAAAATCATTTATAATCAACTTAATTACAAATGATTTAAAAAATAAAAATAAAAATATATATTATTAGCATTAATTGGCATAGTAATAGCAAATATCAAAGAAGAAATAATATATTTAATACTAAGAATTCATAAATCTTCTAGCAGATTTCAAACTTTAATATTTCATGATCAATAATATTTTAAAAAATTAAAAAAATATTGATACATTAATTATTGATGTAATTTCAATAGTTTTCACAAAATTATTTTATATATTTCTGATATCATTGCAATTATTAAATAACATACAATTGTATTTGAAGGATTAAATATTGTTAATAGCAGTTCTTTGTTGTTTATGGATTATAAACAGAGTTTTAAAGGTAAGCAGAAGGTTTGTATTTTATTATTTTACTAATTTAATATAATAATCAGAATTTTAACTTTAATCCAACATAGATATCGTATTGCCTGCAACGTCGACGCTCTATACGATCAGGTATGATAATTAATTATATCTTTCGGAGTTTATTATAATAAAAATGTAAAAAGTGAATAATGAATAACGATGTTTTCATGTTTAGGGAATTATCAGACTTTTTCAAGAATTGGATGAACTGTTTACTATTGCAGGTATTTAATTCTTTTTATTTGCGTTAAAAACTGTTATCTCTTTTTATTAAAGGAAATTCCGCCATTTATATACTAAATTTCTAACAGGATAATTATGGCATGTGAACAGTCATATTCAATGAATATTAATGGTCAGTGAACAATAATGTCCAATGAACATTAATGGCCAATGATCTTCATTGCGCTAACTTAATTTTATTAGCCTAATTTCTTATAATAAAATAAATAATAAAATAATAACAGTAATAAAATAAATTCCAAAGAATAGTTATCATTAT